GGGCATAGTGAAGACATGAATAGGGCAAAGGTAGAAATCTGGTTTGTTCAAAATGAACCGCTCACAACTTTTCAGTTCCCCTTGAAAAGACTAATATTCTAGATAGAGAGATGAGAGCAGGAAGAAAGAAAGTAACAAAGATCCAAGTTCTAATTATGCTTCTGCCACTTACTAGCTACGTGACACTAGGCATTAACCTTTGTGAGCTTCAGGTCACTCATCAGTTAAATGGACATAAGAATAGTGTCCTCACCTCATAGTGTTGCTGTCAAAATTTGGGGGGAAACTGTAAAGCATTCAGCATAGCACCTGGTATAGTGCAGGTGATTAATCAATGGTACCAAAAATTTAATCAATTTAAATAAACTTAAAAAATTAATCAATGGTACCAAAAAAAGTAGAAGGAACTATTTCAATGCATCTTTCTTAATGAGAATGTTCAGGGAAATCCATGCAGTTGACTGACTTATCTAAATAAAACAGCACTGGCCAGAGAAGAAACTAAGAGCTATACACATTGTCAGTGGGGAAGAATAGAACCCAGAGCCTCAAAGGCTCAATGGTATTTTACCTGAGGAGGAGCCACACAGAGCTGGATTCTGACAGGCCTTGGAAAGAAGACTTGGTGATAAGGACCACTCAAGCTCCAAATCTGACCTGTTATTGATTTAGGATTTAACGCCCCCTACTTCTATGAGTTGGAATTGACTCCATGGCAATGGGTTTGGGGTTTGGTTTTTCTGGTTTACTTCCCAAAAGGATTAGAGGCAGATTATAGTAAGAGTCATGTACCCAGTAGACTCATTTAAATAAGAATGTAAGAATCAGAAGAGTATAATGGGGGTGAGGTTCTAGCTGAGATCCACTGCAACTGAAAGTTGGGCATCCAGAGTTAAGGCAAAAAAAGCAAATTTGCAGACTATCATTAGGCCTAGGAAGAATCATGATCAATTAGGAAAGGCAGATTTTCCTAAAACGAAACTTGAAATTTTATAATTAGAAATGGATCCCAGGAATTTATGCCCCTTCCCCTCCCGCCCCCCAAAAAACCAACTCCTAACATAAGCCTTGGTATGTTATTTTCCTTCTTACAGCTTTGCCAATTACCAGCTGTGTGACCTGAAGCCAATGCCTCACCTCTCTGTATCTGTTTCCTCGTGATGCTCCTACCTATTTGTGAAAAGGAATGAAGGAAATAGCAACATTTGCTAGCATTAACTTGGTGATTACTAAGCATCAAAAGTTTTGTGTAGATTATCTTACTGAAATCTCCCAATAACCCATATAAGGGAAGTCCTGTAAATACCATTTTACAGATAAGCTCTTTGACATTTGGAGGTAGAGACAGTTGCATTGTCACACAGCTAAAAAGCAGAAGAGCTTTTAAAATACTTATAAAATACTAAAACATGTATTAACCACTATACTGTTCCCCTGTATATGTCAAGCACCTAACAGTTCCTGGCACATAGTAGGTGCTCAATATATTAGTTCTCATCCTTACTCCTTCCTTTTCTCCTGGAGTAAAATTATACATACACACACACAGAGAACTGAAAGTTTATTGAAATAGTAGTCTCTTATACAGCTTCATTCCTCTAAGAAAATCATACTATTTAATCTATTTTCTCTACAAATCCCACCAAATCTCTATATCATTATGTATCATTTCACCCATTTTACAAATGAGGAACTAAAAGGTAGTAAGCTGCTAGGGTGATGTGCCAAGAGTCATGTGGAAATCACTGCCAAAACCAAATAATAACCTCAGTCCCCTTACTTCTAAATCAACCTTTATCCTCTCACATGACACAGCCTCTATAATAAAGAACAGATCATTCATTTTTTATCTGGAAAACTACCAAACATATAATTCAGTAAGGGGCCTCATGACCCCACCACCTTGTCAAATGGAAGAAAGTACATAAAAAATGAGCTTTGCAGGAGCAGACGGTTTTGGTCTGTCAACTTTCTCTTGGATTACGCCCATTAACCAACATAAAATAATGTAAAATATAACATAACAGATCCCCACGTCCTTGGAAATTCAAGTTAAACTCACTGATCCTTCAAACTGCACTTATATACAATGCACCAAGGGCGACTATTAACTCCTGTGGGTCTGCAGAAGTGTAAATAATGTCAATTAGATCTTCGAAAGAAAAATATGATACGCAACTGGACTGCTCTAAGAAGAATCCAAGTCAGCAATGAGCACTTAGCTGCACAAATTCATAGCACCACAAAATTTTGGAATGCTAAAAGGGATCTGACAGGTCACAGTCCCTTCATCTAGTATATGAGGAAACCAAGGCACAAGGAGGTTAAGTGGCTTGTCCAAGGTTTCACAGAGTTAGTAGAGCAAGAACTAGAAAATGAACTTGCTAACTACTATACAGGAGTCCCAGGGTGGTGCAAATGGTTAAGGGTTGGACTATTAACCAAAAGGCTGGTGGTTTAAACCCACCCAGAAGCACCATGGAAGTAAGTCCTGGCAACCTGCTTCTGAAAGCTCATAGCCTTGAAAACTCTACGGAGCAGTTTCTACTCTGCACACCTGGCACTCTCATGAGTTGGAATAGACTCGACGGTAACTAACAACAACTACTACTACACATTCCACTTGCAAATCTTGCTTCTAATATCCATAAGAACATTTAGCACTTTCCATTTAGCCATCAATACCTTGTTGCCATCGGGTCGATTCTGACTCACAGTGACCCTATAGGACAGAGTAGAACTGCCCCATAGGTTTCCAAGGCTGTAAATCTTTACGGAAGCAGACTGCCACATCTTTCTCCTGGCCATCAATACAGAAAAGTAATATAGTACAGGAGAAAGAGCCTGTATTTTGGTAACAGGAAAACCCAGAATTCAAATCCTGACTCTGCCATTTAATGTGGTCAAGTCCCTCAATTTCTCTAAAGTTCATTTTTTCATCTGTAAACTGTGGATAATAGTGAGTTCCACCATGGTGGTAGAGCTGGAGGTAATATCAACAAGGGGCCTGGCACACGGCCTGTGTGTTCCATGACGGCAAGGACCATGGCTATACATCCCTAGCACCGAGCAGAGTCTGGCACATGGTACATCATCAGAAAATTGGCTGAACAAAATCAATGAACTAACCAAGCAAACAGGTGCTGGACTTGAACCCAGGTCTATCTGGTTCTTAAACACTAAGCTATATTGCTCCCATTCACATGATTTCAAAGCCTTACAAAGTACTGAGAACATAATGGAACAAGACAGTCATTTGTTGGCCGTAAGGCAGGAAAAATTTCAGTGGGGAAAGTCCCTAGATTCTTAGTGTTAGGATTAATTTTTGTTGTTAGCATGGGTACACATGGCGCTTTAGAATCAACTAAATTTGGGTTCAGGTCCCAGCTTCAGCACAAGCTGTGTGACGTCAGAGATATTACTTTACATTTCTGAGCCTAAATTTCCATACCTGAAAAAACCCTACTTCATAGGGATTGTGTGACAAATGAGGCAATATATGTAAAGGAATGCAGGATGATGTGTGGCACACGAAGACACTCAACTATTGTTACATTCCATTTCCCTTTAAGCTATTTGAAAGCTTCATTAATTCAATTCACTTCGGTCTCTGTTCAAATGTCATTTCCTTCCTGATCCTCGCTATCTACAGTAACACACCCCAACACTCCCCATCCCCTTACCCTGCTGATTTCTCTTCATCCTTCTTACCATCCCATGACATTACATTATGTATTTATTTCCTTTTCTAGTTACTGTGCCTCCTCAACTAGAATGTAAGCCCCACAAGGACAGGAACTTTCTGTCATCAGTTTTGTTTACTACTATATCTCAACAATTAGGAGAGTGCCTGGCAAGTAGTGAGTGCTTAATAAATATCTGTCCAAATGACTGAATGCATTAATTCAACACTTGAGACTTGCTATATGTGAGTGAGACACTGTAGGAATAGGGACTTAAAGATAATTAAGAAATGGTCCCCTATCCTCAAAGAGCTTCCAGTCTAAAGAAGGATATATAAAAAGATAATTATATTAACAGTAAATAAATCCTATAGCATTCCAATATCCAAAGTGCTATGGGATTACAAAAGGAGAAACTGATTCTGTCTGCTATGGAAGCTGAGAAAATTTATGTCTAACCTGGAATACTGCAGTTGCCTCCCAACTGCTCTCTCTGCACCAATTCTGTCCCCTACATTCCATTTGTTAATTAGTAGCCAGAGAGATCCCCACTTCCCCCGCTTAAATACTTCCAACGGCATTCGTTTACATTTCGAACAAAATCCAAACTCCTTACCATGCCCTGTAAAGCCCAAATGATCAGCCTGTTGACTGGTCCAACCTCCATACATATGTGTGTATGTTACATATGTGTGTGTGTGTATTATACATATAATACACACACATATATAATTTCTATGTTTATATATAATAAAACCACTCTCTCTCCCTTACTCAATTTCAGAAACACTGGCCTTTTTCATTTTCAAACATGCCAAGGTCTGTTCTGACTCAGGGCCTTTGTGCTTGCTATTCACTCTGCCTGGAAAGCTCTTCCCCTGGGCTGGCTCTTCCTCATCATTTAGCTCTCAGCTCAAATGCTATCCCCTTAAAGAGTCCTCCTAGGCTAAAACTGCCCCTTCCACCATCACCTCCTCCACGTCACTCTCTATCAGATCCTTTTCTTTCTTCATAGCATTTCACCATCTGGAATGACTTTATCCATTTATCTGTCCTATCTTCTCAACCAGAATGTAAACAACATGAGGACAAGGACTTTGTCAGGTTTACTACTACATCCCCAGTACCTAGCACATAGTAGGTACTCAACAAATATTTCTTAATTAATAAAGTGAATCTCAAAAGACGCTGAAGTTTTCCAGGATGAAAGGTACAGGTAAAGTATGCTATTGGCCTAACAGTATCATGGAGTGTTGGTTTCCTTCCAAGGACAACTGCCCCATTTCATCAAAATATATGAATTACAGCCAAACTTACTTGGGAATGGGCACCCGAATTAGCGTCCCTTCCACTTCCGGGTTCAGATTCATTCCACTTTCTCTTATAGCCTTGATAGCTGCAGCTGTACACTGAAAACCAGATCAAAAGGTAAACAGAATTAGTAAATAATTATTACCAGATGCAAGCCCTCTGTCGATAACTGGCAACCCATCTTGGCAGAACATGGAAACATTTAGTTCTGTTACCAGTAAGATCAGGAAGTTACATTGGTGTAGAGTGCTTTGATCAAGCTGAATAGCAAACTATGTCCACTCCTGGTACCAGTGTACTGCGGGAGGAAAAAAAGCAAAAAGAAGAAAAAAGAAAAAGAAAACAGCTCTGCTTCTTTGAAAAGATTTCAATGGTTTGAAGCAACGCAGATCAAAACCACAATAAATCCTCAAGGGAGGGGGGCTGTTCTGTGCAAAGATTGGTATAAAGACAGATGAAAGATTTTATATGTTAAAAATTCCAGTTGACATTTTACACTCAAAATATACCAGTGCCGATTTGGAATGAGTAAATAAATTTAACTCATTCGCATCTACACTCACACCAAACTCACTCATGTTTTGGAACAAGTAATAAATCTCTACTACCAGGAAAGGCATAGCAGTTAAAAGCATGGGCTTTGGAGTCAGAAAGATCTCAGTTCAGATCCCAGCTGTGCTAACCACGTGACCCGGGCAACATCCTTGACCATTCTGAGCCTCCATTTTGTAATGAGAGAAAAGGAGATCCTGTTGTACCTCAAACTCAGAGCGGACTGAATAAAATAACATGAGCAATACATCTTGTTCTACGTCTGGCACACAGTAAAAGTCAAGGGGAGTTATTATATAAATACATAGTATGTATTTATCATATTAAAGTAAGAATGCATAGAACACCCAAACAAGGCTAAGTCAATGTCATCATCTAGCTGATGCACTGCTGCCCTGCCTGACATCTTTCAGGGGTTTCTCTGACACAGTCTTGCTCTCTAATGTGCCAGGTGACACACTGGTACACTGATTTCCCAAAGTGACTCACCTCACACTCAAGCAACATTATAACCATTGCAACTGGTATGCAATCATAAAGGACAGCAAGAAAACAGAGATACTTTCATTGGCATGAATATGTGGAATTCATCAAAACAAGGCCTCTGACATTTTCAAAAGAATTTTAGGTTTGATCAGAGCCAATCTACATCACATAGAAAGAGTTCTATAGTCACGGGATCGATTCCTGGCCTTGAGTTTTTCTAAAGTTTCTGGTTTAAATGAGTGGTAGTTGCTGCACACCTATTTTACTGTCCCAATTTTTTTACGGGGTGCCTAAAACTCTCCATTTCATTTTAAAATGATCTTAATTCTGCATCTGTATGAAGTACTACTATAAGTCAAAAAGACAAACCAGAACTTTCACGTGTAGATGAATCATCTTCTTGGAAGGCTATACACAGATCTAACAGTGTGGCCACTGCTGAAAATAGTAAATTCTTAAAATGGTACCACTGACCACAGACTGTCAAAGCTATAAAAAAAGTCTTTGACATAGTCAAGTACAGCCCTTCATTATGTATGTGGAGACCTATAGGATAAGGTCACATCCCTAAAAGTACACATAGTCTTCCCTAAGAGCCCAACAGAAGTCCAGTAAGGACCCCACCCATCACACTTTGAGTTACCAGCAGAGTTAGGAGGAGACTCTAGGCTCCCCAACTCCAAGCCCAATGATGCTACTTTGTCTATATTTTCTTCCAAATCCCCTAACTTAATTTATGCCCCCAAATGATTTGGAATTAGGTCTGGTGTATAAAGGGTATACCAAAAAACCAAACCCACTGAGGTCGAATCAATTCTAACTTGTAGAGACCCCATACCATTTTAAGAATTTACTGAGTGCTTTAATCACTGTGCGACCAAAGCTCCTAAAGGGTATGGCCAAGTTAAACAAAAGAGGTGGATAAAGAAATTAATTTTCCTCCGGAAGAAAACTGCCATCTTCCTTAATAAAATGAAATACAGACCTCTAAGGTTAACAATAAAGGGAATCTCCACTTTGAAGGGTAGCCTGGTCTCAAACCTCCAAATCCTTCTCTTCTGAAGCTTGTTACCGAATGACTGATTACTCACTGCTGTCACATCCCACCACTACCACTTCTCTTTCACAGTCTGGCCCAAGTATTTACTTATAACCTACCCCTGTAGGCACTGGAGCACCCAGTGCTGACACCAAGCTGGAAGGAACATTTAAACTATCTTTATTTAGGGATCTTGAATGGCAAAAGGGAAATAAAAATAAAAAGTAACATGAAACCAGATAGACTGGATTATAAGACACAGCTTGCCCTATGGGGATTCCAACCTGCTCCCATGTGGTTAGTGAACTACCACCTGAACTACTCAACAGAAAAACCTATATATAAAGAAAATAAGATCTCCTCACTGAAGGACTGCTCACCAGTATCCCAGGGCAAACAGGTTGCTCTCAAATGGCAATACTGATCAACTGGTTGTGGCTGCTTAGAGTACTGTGCCAGAAAGATCATAATTCCCATCTGGGGTCAGGCACGAAAGGAGTGCGGTGATCAATTAGCAATGTGTGTCATTGCTGTTCTTAAGCTAATCTATGCTAAAGGACAAAAGATGATAAAACATTGTGGACAGGTGAAGCAAGGTCTTGAAGAGTTTGGGATCAAGTCAACTTTGTTAGGGTCTTTTTAATTACTGGCCTTCCATTTCCTTTACTTTCCAGTGAGTCCCTAGAATATAAGGTCTATGAGAGCAAAGGCCTTGTCTAACTTAATTAGCACTGATCTCCCAGCACCTCAAGTAGAGCCTAATATATTGCAAGGACTCAAAAAATATCTGTTCAACCACTGAATGAATGCTAAAACACTTTGGTGTCACACAGATGTATATTCAAACCTTGGCCCTATAATTTACAAGAGTGTGAACCTGAGGAGGTATTTTACTTCTCTGAGCCTCAGTTTCCTCATCTATAAAATGGAATAAACAATGTCTAATTTTTGAGAGTAGCTGTGTTGCTCACATGACACAAAACATGAAAACGTGCTTGGCAATATAGCAGACACAATACACGTTAGCTCCCTTTCCTCCGTAAGAGAATAACGAAGCCTGGAGAATTTTTTTTTCATTTGCCTTGTTTCGTTCAAATTGTGCTGTGGTTTTCATCCCCTTCTTTTATTTCCCATCATGAACTCTAGCTGCAGGCAAGTTTATGGAAGGTAGCAACCGTATGTATCATTTATCAAGCAGGACACATGTTAAACAAATGCAACACAGTTTTCTGTCTTCAATCCATTCGAAAAGATTATGCATGTAAATCTGCATCGTGTCACTACAGCATGACACAGAAATGCTCAGGTTTGGAAAGGAAGCCAACTGCATGTGAAACAGAAAGGAATTACATAAACACAGAGAGGATTAGCTCAGCATTCTGAAGCTATGAACCTGGGTACTCCATGGACGGCTTCTACGCTGGAGGAAGGAAATGTTTAGTTAGAGCTATTTGTTTAATATATACACCAGATGAGATAAAGGAATTCAAAGGACAATGTAACTCACACTTCCTCACTCTGTCCCTATAAATGAACCTCTCTACCAAGATGCTTGTAAGGTTTTTCAAAACCCACAGAATTTCAACTTGGAGAAATGACGAGATGCCTTGGTTGAAAAATGAAGATACACTCCAACTTCGTAAGAAAAAATTAAGCTGTTAATACCGCTTCCTGCCTCATAAGATGTTCTGGTGGCCAATCAGGTGCTTCTTCTGTGCATGCCATTTGCTATTTAATAACAGAAGTGGCTGGCTCTGAAAAGCAATCTGCCTGATGAGGTCTTCAAGCTGTGTAATTAGGAGGCTATTCCCCAAATTGGCCTATGGTGCCTACGGGATTAGATGAAGAAGGGGGAGAGGGTTCAATGGTTGGTGGGGAGTGGTGGGGAGGAAGAAGCCAGAAAGGGAAAGAGTTGATAGTTCCCTTCTCATCCATTTTGTTGCTCCTCAGTACCACCAGGAGTGAGTGCCTCCCTTCCCTAAACCTAATGACAAGTACTCATCCAGTCAAGGAAAATTTACAGAGTGCTTCCACATGCCAGGCACTATGTTAGTTGCTGAGCACAATCAATTAAGTCAGATATGATTGTTACATTTCAAACTTAAAATCTAGTGGAAGTGGGATGAAAAATAAACATGTAAATAAATGTGTAACTATTACTAGTGATAAGTGCAATGAAGAAAAAGGACTGTGCTATATAAGAGAGCTTAGTGTGGAGGAATAATTTAGATTGGGAAGATTAAGAAAGGCTTCCCTGAGAAAGTGACATTTAAGCTATGATCCGGAATATGAGTAGCAATTAGCCAGGCAAGAGTGTTCCAAGCAAAGGGAATAGAATATGTAAAGGCCCTGAGAAGGGAAAGCGCTTGGTGCGTTTGGGGAATTGAAAGAAGGCCAGTGTGGCTAGAGTGCAGTGCAAGGATGATAGTGATACAAAATAACACTGGAAAGACTGGCGAGACAGGCAGGGGCCAGGCCATGCAAAGCCTTCTAGGCCACGGTACGGATTTTGGACTTGCTCTTAAAGATTATTTGATGCCACTGATAAATTTAAAGCATGAGAACTGCATGATCCAATATACATTTTTAAAAGTTCACTCTAGCTGCAATACAGAGAATGGAATGGGGGAGTGGCGAGTAATAGTGTGCCTAGCATATTAGCTACAAGAGCCCTCTGATTTGAGCATAGAAAAGGAAGGAATACTCCCAAACTCATTCTATGAAGCCAGCATAACCCTGATGCCAAAACCAGGTAAAGGAACCACAAAAAAGGAAAATTACAGACCAATATCCCTCATGAACACTGATGGAAAAATCTTCAACAAAATTCTAGCCAATAGAATTCAACAACGTATCAAAAAAATAATTCACCATGATCAAGTGGGATTTATACCAGCTATGCAGGGATGGTTCAACTTTAGAAAAACAATCAATGTAATCCATCACATAAATAAAACAAAAGACAAGAACCACATGATCTTATCAATTGATGCAGAAAAGGCATTTGACAAAGTCCAACACCCATTCATGACAAAAACTCTCAGTAAAATAGGAATAGAAGGGAAATTCCTCAACATAATTAAGGGCATTTATACAAAACCAACAGCCAACATCATCCTAAATGGAGAGAATCTGAAAGCATTCCCTTTAAGAATGGGAACCAGACACTTCATCACCATTCTTATTCAACACTGTGCTGGAGGTCCTAGCCAGAGCAATTAGGCTAGAAAAAGACATAAAGGGCATCCAAATTGGTAAGGAAGAAGTTAAAATATCTCTGTTTGCAGATAATATGATCTTATACACAGAAAACCCCAAAGAATCCACAAGAAAACTACTGGAACTAACAGATGATTTCAGCAAAGTATCAGGATACACGGTAAACATACAAAAATCAGTTGGATTCCCCCACACCAACAAAGAGAACTTTGAAGAGGAAATCATCAAATCAATACCATTTACAATAGCCCCCAAGAAGATAAAATACTTAGGAGTAAATCTAACCAGAGATGTAAAAGACCTATACAATGAAAATTACAAGACACTACTGCAAGAAACCAAAAGAGACCTGCATAAGTGGAAAAACATAACTTGCTCATGGATAGGAAGACTCAACATTGTGAAAATGTCAATTCTACCCAAAGCAATCTATAGATACAATGCAATCCCGACCCAAATTCCAACGGCATTTTTTACTGAGATGGAGAAACAAATCACCAACTTCATATGGAAAGGGAAGAGGCCCCAGATAGATAAAGCATTACTGAAGAAGAAAAACAAAGTCGGAGGCATCGCACTACCTGATTTTAGAACCTATTATACCGCCATGATAGTCAAAACAGCCTGGTACTGGTACAACAACAGATACATAGACCAATGGAACAGAATTGGGAATCCAGACGTAAGTTCACCCACCTATGAGCAGCTGATATTTGACAAAGGCCCAAAGTCCGTTAATTGGGGAAAACACAGTCTCTTTAACAAAAAGTGCTGACATAACTGGACATCCATCTACCAAAAAAAAAAAATGAAATAAGACGCATACCTCACACCATGCACAAAAACTAACTCAAAATGGGTCAAAGGCCTAAATATAAAATCTAAAACAATAAAGATCATAGAAGAAAAAGTAGGGACAGTGCTAGGAGCCATAATACATAACATAAACAGAACACAAACCATCAGTAACAATGCACAAACACCAGAAGAGAAACTAGATAACTGGAAGCTCCTAAAAATCAAACACTTATGCTCATCAAAAGACTTCACCAAAAGAGTCAAAAGACAACCTACAGACTGGGGAAAATATTTTGGCTATGACAAATCCCGGTCAGCATCTAATCTCTAAAATCTACAAGACAGTGCAAAACCTCAACAAAAAAAAGACAAATAACCCACTTGAAAAATGGGCAAAAGATATGAACAGGCATTTTACCAAAGAAGACGTTCAGGCGGCTAACAGACACATGAGGAAATGCTCATGATTATTAGCCATTAATGAAATGCAAACCAAAACTACAATGAGATACCATCTCACCCCAACAAGGCTGGCATTAATCCAAAAAACACAAAATAATAAATGCTGGAGAGGTTGTGGAGAGACTGGAACACTTATACACTGTTGGTGGGAATGTAAAATGGTACAACTACTTTGGAAATCGATTTGGTGCTTCCTTAAAAAGCTAAAAATAGAAGAACCATATGATCCAGCAATCCCACTCCTTGGAATATATTCTAGAGAAATAAGAGCCATCACATGAATAGGTATATGCACACCCATGTTCACTGCAGCACTGTTCACGACAGCAAAAAGATGGAAACAACCTAGGTGTCCATCGATGAATAAATAAACAAATTATGGTATATTCACACAATGGAATACTACGCAACAATAAAGAACAACAATGAATCTGTGAAACATCTTATAACATGGAGGAATCTGGAAGGTATTATGCTGAGCGAAATTAGTCAGTCGCAAAAGGACAAATACTGTATGAGACCACTATTATAAGAACCCAAGAAAAGGTTTAAACACAGAAGAAAACATTTTTTGATGGTTACAAGGGTGGGGAGGGAGAGGGGTATTCAGTAACTAGATAGTAGACAAGAATTATCTTACGTGAAGGGAAGGACAACACACACTACAGGGGAAGTCAGCACAACTGGACTAAACCAAAAGCTAAGATGTTTCCTGAATATGACCCAACACTTCGAGGGACAGAGTAGCAGGGGTGGGGGTCTTGGGACCATGGTTTCAGAGGACAGCTAGGTCAACTGGCATAACAAAGTTCATTAAGAAAATGTTCAGCATCACACTTTGGTGAGTGGCGTCTGGGGTCTTAAAAGCTAGCGAGTGGCCATCTAAGATGCATCAATCAGTCCCAACCCACCTGGAGCAAAGGAGAATGAAGTATACCAAAGACACACGGAAAATATTAGCCCAAGAGACAGAAAGGGCCACATAAACTAGACACACCATCAGCCTGAGACCAGAAGAACTAGATGGTGCTGGGCTACCATTAATGACCACCCTGACAGGAAACACAACAGAGAGTCCCTGATGGAGCAGGCAAAAAGTGGGGTGCAAAACTCAAATTCTAGTAAAAAGACCAGACTTAATGGTCTGACTGAGACTGGAGCGACCCCAGAAGACATGGTCCTGAGACTCTCTGTTAGCCCCAAACTAAAACTATGCCCGAAGCCAACTCTTCAGACTAAGATTAGACTGGACTATGGGACATAAAATGGTAACTCGTGAAGGGTGTGCTTCTTAGCTCAAGTAGATACATGAGACTAAATGGGCAGCTCCTGTCCAGAGGTGAGAGAGAAGGCAGAGAGGGTCAGGAGCTGGTTGAGTGGACACAGGAAATCCGGGGTGGAAAGGAGGAGTGTGCTGTCACAGTACAGGGAGAACAACTAGGGTCACATAATTATGTGTGTATAAATTTTTGTATGAAAGACTAACCTGAATTATAAACTTAAGGCACAATTGAAAAAAAAAAGGACTCTCTGATTTGAAATAGTTTGTTCACAGCAAGAGCTTTCCCATTCTCAGGTCTCTCACCAAGTGTGTCAAATCCAGCAGGTCCAACTTTGGTCTATATCTTTGGGATGGAATTACTGAAACAGACAATCAGAACAGGAAGGAAATTCAGGTTCCTGTCACCTCATGTTAAGAGATAAGGAAATGGAGACTTCAAAAGTGAAGCAACTTGAGAAAGGTCAAACAGCCAGTTGGTAGTAGGAATGGGATCACATCCCAGGTCCTCTAGGATCCCTGATGCAGCCAATTCCTACTGGAGCAATAACGAAAAGCCCAATTACCTTCCACAACTAGACTTAGAATCATACAGTCTCAAGGTTGCAATGATTGAATGCAACCCACCTTCCAGCCTTGGTAGCACTGTGTTCTGTGTGATATCCTGCAATGGTCAGTCCAGTTTGAAAAGAATGTGAATTTCTGAAGGGACTGCTCCAAATACTAACGCAGAGGTCACAAACTGGTGGCCCGGGGGCATATATGGCCCATTAATATGTTTTGTTTGCCTCACAGTCTTTAAAAAAGAAAAGTGAATTAGTTATCAACATTTAACAAAGAAAGAGCTCACATAAAAATTTAGGTTACTAGTTTCTTCTGGAAGTAAAAAGCGCAATATCCAGTAACACCAATTGTTAGGCCTACATTTCTGCCTAGGAACCATCAGCAGGAGCTGAGCCCAGGCCACCCCCTTCAGACAGGGCACAGGCTTTCCAGTTTACCGCAGCCCCCTCCACATCACTGCAAGTGCCAATCACTTCATTTCCACTCTTGTTTTTCTTAGATGGGGCCTGTTTCAGTATTCAAATTACTTGTCTGGCTCCTATAGCACCTGAGTTTAACAAAATAAGAATTTAGAAACAGGAAGAGGTCTTTTCCTTATCCTTAAGTACCCTTTACTCTGCGTCCTCTCTTGTTTTATCCCAAACTGGAGAAACACCTCCTCCTGACCTGACCCAGCCAGTTCCATTCCAAACAAGTCCATGGAGAGTGACCCTTTTAGCACGCCACCTTACCTCTGGGAAGCTGCTCATGTTCACCAAAATCAGCTGTGGCGACTTCATGGAGATCTGGCCAATCTGGTTCAAAGCAAGCTTGCCATCAGCAGTTACCACAGTGATATGATCAAGGGATCCTAAAAAAAAAATTACAGGGTCTTAGAATTCAGAGGGACCTTAGTATCCCCACGTCTGAGTCCCTATCTAATTCAGATTCAACTGAGTTCTAATGCAGATTCACTCCAATATTTATGGTTCCCTTATCAATATGCCTGGAGCCCTGGTGGCACAGTGGTTAAGCTTTCAGCTGCTAACCAAAAGGTCAGCAATTTGGATCCGCTAGCCACTCCTTGGAAACCCTGTGGGGCAGTTCTACTCTGTCCTATAGGGTCACTATGAGTTGGATCGACTCAATGGCAACAACAGGTTCAAGTTTGTTTGTTTGTTTCTTGTATCAGTATGCCAAGACTATTCAAGGGGCTTTCACAGCTAGCAGCAATATCATGTGATGAAAACAGCTTTGAATGTTGACAGACCAAAAAAAAAAAAAAAAAAGAACTGCCCCATAGGGTTTCCAAGGAGAGGCTGGTGGATTTGAACTGCCGACCTTTTGGTTAGCAGTCCAGCTTTTAACCACTGCGCCACCAGGGCTTTAACTAGGTTGGAATTCCTTACGAGCAACTAGGGTGACCAGCTGTCCTGACTTGCCTGGGCCTGAGAGGTTTCCAGGGATACAGAACTTTCAGCGATAAAACTGGGAAGTTGGTCACCCCTCCAGTAACCCATCCATTTACTAACTATGAAACCTTGGCCAAGTTACTAATCTTCTCTGTGCCTTAGTTTCCACTCAGTCAAAAAGTAACTACCTTACAGGATTAAAGTGATGATTGTAGCTAAAAGATATAAACAACCAAGTATACAAAGTAGTAAAATATGCACACAAATAAAGGTACCTCTTATTATCTCTCTTAGTTCTTACATCCACCCTGTAACACTGTATTACTATCTCCACTTTACAAATGAGAAAAATGAGGTGAAACGACTGGCCCAAGATCACAGAGCTAACAAAAGGAAAAACAATCAAGTGCCAAGACCCAAACTCAAGTGTGCTTAATTCCAGTTCTAATCAAGGCCCTTTCCCTCATACCAAACCCAAAACCCACTGCCACTGAGTCAATTCCAACTCACAGCAACCATGTAGGACAGAGTAGAGCTGCCCTGTAGGGCTTCCAAGGCTGTAATCTTTACCGAAGCAGACTGCCACATCTTTCTCCTGCGGAGCGGTTGTTGAGTCTGAACTGCTGACATTCCGGTTAGCCACGAGCACTTTAACCACCATGCCACCAGGGCTCCTTTTCCCTTAATCCAGTGGAACTCAAATTTGGCTATGCATCAGAATCACTAGGGAGCTTTTTAATAAAGATTCCTGGGCTCCACCCCCAGAGATCCTGTTTCTGTAGGAGCTTTGGGGCCTGTGATTTCTGGGAAGGCTGCAATTTTTTTTTTAAGTTCACCATACGATTCTGACAGGCAACCATTCCTTATACCAACTTGATTTTGGCACTTACATCCCCTTCAGAAACAAACACCTTTAAAAATAAACAAATAAAACAACACTATTAACAACATCACTGTTTCCCTAGATCTCACCATTTTCATCGATATCTGAACTCTGAAAAACCCTGGGCAAAATTTTCAGAAACCCAGGAAGGCAAGCAAATAAAGCTACAGTTACAGATGGAAAGGAGCATTATTCGAACTCCCTGATTTCCTATGCAAACAAGACCTAGAAGAAAAGCCTTATCATTCACAGTAGGAATCACTCATGGATGGCTCATTCTGAGACACAAAGAGAAGGGGGGAAAATGTGTCTTTTAAACAAATTAGAGTTGTCATGACAAATTCCTGTTAGAATAATGGTAATACCATACAATGGCCCAAAGATCTGATCTGACCTACTCAACTAGATTCAATGTCACAAGGTAGAAAGTTGTTGACACCACTAGCTTCGACCTGGAAAAATCCAGGAGGTATAATGGTAACAGTTGCCATGATTCTGAAGACAGACGACCTGGGTTCAAATACTAACTCTGCCACTTCCTGATTGTGTAACCCTGGGCAGATCCCTTCACCTTTGGGGACCTCCGTTTCCTGATCTGTAAATGAGGCATAAAAATTGCACTTATCTCATAGGGATGTTATGAGGATTAAATGAAATTAATTAATTAAATGAAATAGTGTACGTAAAGCACTTATAACTGTGTCTTGGCATATAAAAGTGCCCAAAACATGTTTATTATTATTACTTCTTGACATTCTCCTATGTTTTAGCCAAAGTAATCTATTTACAATTTCTCTAATATACTCTGTTCTCTCTTGCCTTAGGACCCTTGCATATATTTTTCCTCCTACAGAGAACCCCCTTTGCTCATATAACTCCTGCTCACTCTTTAATACTCAGCTATAGTAGCATCTAAGGAGTCTTCATGGCGCAGTGGTTAAAATGCTTGGCTGACAAGCACAAGGTTGGTGGTTTGAACCCACCAGCTACTCTGCAGGACAAAGATGTGGCAGTCTGCTTTTGTAAAAGATTTACAGCCTTAGAAACCCTATGGGGCAGCAGTTCTACTCTGTCCTATAGGGTCGTTATGAGTCAGACTTGACTGGACAGCAGTGGAATAGTAGCACCTAATCCTAGAAATCTTCTCTGACCTCCTAGGCTGGGTTACAAATTCTTTTTATGTGCTCCTAAGCACCCTACCCACATTCCTCTAATAATGAAAATAATAGCCAATATTTACTGAGCACTTCCTATGAGCCAGACATTGTACTAAATGCTTTCTATAATTTGTTTGCACTATCACAATAACTCTAGGAGACAGTTGTTATTATTTCTACTATTTTATAGATGAGGAACCTAAGGCATAGAGAGTAATTTGCCCAAGGTCACAACAGCTCTTAATAATGGAGTCTGAATTAAAACCCAGGTCTGACTGACTCTTAAGGCCATGATCTTAACCAGTCTGCTTTGCTGTATGGTTTTATACATGTTGGTTTATTTGTCTGTCCTTTCACATTAGACTCTAGGCTCCTAGAAGATGGGGACAATGTCTTTTCTCTCTATATCCATTTTTGCTGTTGTGTGCCATCAAGTTGATTCCAACTCATAACGACCCTTCCATAGCACCTATTAAAAGCTAATCAGCACAGTAAGTACTCAATAATGCTTTTATGAATGAATGAATGAATGTATGGAGGGATGGATGGATGGATAAGAGACAGAGCAAGAATGAACAACCAAGTAAACCTATATCTTAAGACAACTGTTTAGAAGAGTCAACTATCTTGGAGACAGCAATTGCTGGAGGACAGATGGAGGTGTAAGAGGAAAAGTGCCTGCTGGTTCAGATGGTAATGAAAGATGATTTAGAAGAATCTGTCAAAAAAAGACTGGCTAAGCTCAGCCTATTTCACCCAGTCTCTTCCTGGCCCTAAATTCTACATAGAATGTTATACAAACATAACCCTGAAAAGAAAGAAGCAAAGAGGAAATACCAGTGTGAGGCCTTTTGAAAAACATCTTAATTCAACCTTCCTGATTTGCCATAAGATCCTTTGCCACAGAAGTTCCAACATGGGCTTTTCAGTATGCAATTGTGGTGGTTCCCATTCCCTAAACCCATATCGACATAATGCACCAAATCCTTTTCCCTCAATCTGTCCCCAGCGAGAATCTCCCTCAGCCTCATTCCTGCCCCTCATTTTCTCAGAGGTTAACATTTAACAAATTACACTCTCAACCTCTTTCCAGGCCCATCATCTTTTTAAGTTCAACAAGAGTGGAGCTTGCTGGCTAATTTTAAGTATCACATTTCTCCCTGAGCAACTCTCAAGCTGCTCTCTGGTTTCGACTGCAGAATGTTAACAGGCCAGAAAGCACAGGGGAGACAGAGCACTTTATCAGTTTCATACCTAAAATAATAAGCAAGTTTAAAATAAACAGTTGGGAGAGACTGAATGGCACGCTCTACTGTCAGCAAAGGCAGAAATGCCCCAATCCAAAGGTTGACAAACGCCGGGAATGGTCTTCTGGTTTCACAATGGATCTCATCTCTGAACTCAGTACTCTTTTGATGGTGTTTATAAATGGAGCTTTACACTTTTCATTTGGTTTTCTTAAGAACAAGTTCATAAAATGTTTTCTAGTTTCCTTATAAACTATCCCAACCAAGTCGTGAGTGGGAGCAGCCCAAGATCCCAGATACCTTCAGAGGGGGTCCTAGGCTTGACTCTAGGATGATGACAATTTCCAAAAGGCCAATTTAACAGCAATTGGATTTTTCCTGCCTGCCTACACCATTAGCTGACAACTCACTTCTCCATCACATCTGCAAACAGTTCTCCTAGACAGTTCTGACATTTCCCACTTAGAAAAGCCACTTTCAGGAAGTTATTAACCCAAATGGAATCTTCCTGGTCAAACTCAGGGGTACAGAAATGCCTCAGCTGGGCAGGTTTGCAGCCATTTGGTTCCCAGTAAGGGATAAGAACTGTCAAATAGGAGAAATTGGAAAAATCAGACCAAAGATGCCAGTTATTGTGAGACCAGCTTTCTAGAGGTGTTTACAATACATTCATAATAAATAGTTGCCATTTTTTGGAAAGGATAGTTCCATGAGAACAAAGACCATACCTATTTTTGTTCACCACTGTGCATTAGCACAATGCCTAGTTCATAGCAGACAAATATTTGAATGAATAAATAAATTTAGTGTTAATTATGTGCCAGGCATTGTACAAGACCCTTTACATACATCATGTCATTTAATACCCACCCCAAAGCTTTGAGGTAGGCACTGTATCCCTGTTTTTAGACAAGTAAACTAAGGATCAGAAAAGTAAAGTAACCACCCATTGTCACCAGTTATTAAGTGGCAAAGCTGGGGCTAAAACAACTCCAAAACCATGCTCTCTCCACTATACCACTCCCCAAAACCCTGGTTCAGTCACTAACCTGGTGAGGTCCTTATGTTGAGAGTCTTATTGAAATTATCTTTGAGTGCTTCCATCACAGACTTCATTTCTTCATCTAATTCTTCCAAGTTGATTATATCTTCAACCAAGGTAGTGTTAATATTCACTCTGGTTTGGGACTGTCCTTTCCCTTTGGCTAGAAAGTCAACATTCAGCAAATAAAAGAACAGCAGCTTAAACAGAGACAATAAGCAATTAGTTATGGAGTGCTTACTGTGTACAGGGCAAAATGCCAAGTATAAGAAAATTATAAAACATTATCACTGCCCTAAAAAAGAACCTACGTTTACTGAGTATTTACTAGGTACCAAGAACCATGAGAAATACCTTCTCAGATATTAATGAAGGCACAGGCTTTCCAATCAGACACCTCAGGTTTAAATGCTGGCTATGATGCATACTAGTTTTATGATCCCAGGCAAGTTACTCTACCTTCTATCAGGTTCCCTACCTGTAAAACAGGGATAATAATATCTGTATTGCAAGGATGCTACAAAGATACAAATTACGTGATTCAAATACACAAAAGAATATTATCTATACAATAGGCAATCCACAGTGAATTACTCAATTTTCAGAAAAATAAACAGAATACAAGTAAAGTAAAGTGACTGGCCTAACACCACAAGGTTAGTAGATGGAAAAGCCAGGATATGGTTCCAGATCTGCCTAAATTTTAAACCCATGAACTTTCCACTAGATCGTCTCCATATAATCTAATTGGAGAGACAGGAAATGTATTAATTCATTTAAAAATGAATAGTAGGAAAGGATATGCAAAGTATCTGATGACTGAACAAAAAGATTAACAGTAGTTTATAGACATTAAACACTACCAGTGGTAGTGACAATAGCTTATATTCTAAAAAATCAACAACAGTGAACTATTTGTAAAACAGCATTGGTAGTTGAATAAAATTAGAACATGTCTAAACAATCATAGTGATTTTTCACATACGTTCTTTAATGTATATATACATAAATCACTCCCATGAGTGATACAAATATTCTTGCATCTCTTTATGGTAGAGTGGGGGAAGGAGAAAAAAATAAGACTAGTGGAATAATATTACCTTACACTTGTTATTCATTGAACATTCAACAAATATTTATTGAGATTAATTCAACAAAGTTTATCAAATATCTACAATAAGTTGGATCCTGTGCTATTTGTATACCATGTTATAATTTGCAAGGCATTTTCAAGTACACTATTTTATTTGAGATTCAAAACAGTTAGCTGGTGTAGGAAGAATAGTGATTATTATTGTCCCCACTGTACAGATGAGAGGAGCCCTGGTGGTGCAGTGGTTAAGAGCTTGGCTGACAACCAAAAGGTTGGCAGTTCAAATCTACCAGCTGCTCCTTGGAAACCCTATAAGGCAGTTCTACTGTCCTTCAGGGTTGCTATGAGTCAGAATCGACTAACAGCAACGAGTTTGGTTTGGGTTTTTTGTTGTTGTTATTCAGATGAGAAATCGAAGGCACAAGCCATTTAAATGTCTTGCCCAAAGTAACCAACTAGTAAGCAGCAGAGTGATTTTTTTTTTCTTTTTAACATAATCTGCATGTGTCACCCTCATGCTTGAAACTCCACTGCTCTTAGGCTAACATGCTGACAGCTTAGAATTTGTCAGAAGTGATGAAAGACAGGAATCTTCAGATTCAGAAATACAAGTTCAACATAGGATAATAAAAGTAAATCTATATCCAGACATCTTGTGAACATAGAAAACCAAGGACAAAAAGATCTTAAAAATAACCAAAGAGAAAAGACAAATTATCCATAAAAGATCAAAATTTAAAATGACAGCATACTTCCCAAGAATAACAATAGGAGCCAGAAACAATAGAAACACAATCCTCAAAATGCTAAGAGGAGGAGGTGGTCCAAGACGGCAGCATAGTCAGATGCCTCGTAACAGCTCTCTTACAACAAAGACCTGAGAAAACAAGTGAATCAGATAGAGACGACAACCTTGGAACCCTGAGCAAGAAAGGCAAGGCTAAAGAACTGGACAGAGTGCCAGGTGGAAGGAGAGACTGTACAAAAACAGCAGACACAGATAATTACGTATTGCCAACATCCTGCCAGCCAAACACGCACGGCACGGCCATACTGAGACAAAGCAAACAGCGTTCCCAGCCAAAGCCCCCATTACTGGTGCAGCCAAGCAGGAGGAACTCTGCACCCATGTCATGAGCCAGGCAGGAGTGCTCCCCGCCATACGAAAGTTAAGCGCACTCACCTCACCCACCTTGCCCCCCACCACCCCCGTGCTGGAGGTCCATGGACCTGCAGTGTCTCTCACCACTCTCACCCACCTCCCCCCACCCGCACCCATCCCCCTCACCCCCCACACACACAATGGGGTCTGGCGGCACCAAGTACCGCCCTGACCTGAGCCAGGGACCCACAGACCAGCAGTGCCTGCCCTTTCACTCAGCCACTGCACCGGGGACCCAGGGACACACGGAATGGCAGCACCCCCTCTTCCACCTGCCCATCCACACCACGAGCCTGTAGTCTGGCAGTGCCCCCTCTTCTGCCCATTCATCCATGCTGGGGGTCCATGGACCAGTGGCACCTGCTCCAAAGCCCAGTCACCCAAGCCAGGACTCATGGACCACCGGAGTCCACTTCTCCACCTGGCTGCCAATGCTGAGGGCCCGGGGACCAGCGGCACCTCCTCTTCCACCGAGCCAACTGCACTGAGGGCCTGAGGACTGGCAGCACCTGCTCCTATGCCCAGTCACTCGCACCACGAGCCCACAGACTGGCAGCTCCCACTGCTCCACTCAGCCACTACCACCGGAAGCCTGCGAACCAGCTCCTATGCCCAGCTACAAGGACCGGGGGCCTACACACCAGCAGAACACCCTACCCCACACCACACTGTAATGGACAGGGATATGCCCTCCCAGTGGGCACCCGTGGGCCAGCGACTTCCCCCGTCTCTGCCCCCACACCGCCCCCTCTGCAATGGGAGGTTGTGCCCTCTCTGACCACCTCCATGCAGCCCTGCCTGCCCAGGACCATCGATGAGAGTTTCTCTACCACTTACCCAGTGACCGACAACCAGGGCACCCTTGCCCCGATCACCCAGCAACCAGCAGTGCGCACATACAACACCCAACCCAGTGACTAGTGAGAATACTCCCTGCACTTACACTGAGGTGACCGGCCAGTTGGACACATCATCTCACCAGCAAGGCCAGTTACATTCTTAGCTGCCCCGCAAGACTAGAGAACAGAGACTTGAGCTCACACACCCAGCTGCTGCCCCACCCACATGGAGACAGGTGGTGAGAGCTCTAGCAGCGACCAGAGAAGCATGCATGTCCTGCCCACTCAGATATATCACAACAAAACAAAACATCAGGTCACAGTAAACAAACATACAATAAACAAACATAATAACACCTTAATGCCTTGAAGACAACTGACAACATCAAATCATATAAAGAAGCAGGACAAGAAGGCTCCAATCAGTGACCATAATAAAGAACCAGAAAAACTTCTGGAGGAAGAAACAGTAATGGAACTACCTGATAAGGAATTCAGAAAATGACAAAATAGACAATTAGAAACCATACAAAAAGAGGAATTAGAAAGCCAAAAGATTAACAATAAAATTTCAGAAATAGACAACTTATAGGAGCAGAACTGAATCAATAGAATCAAATTCAATCAATTGAATCAAATCAGCGAAATAAAGAACAAATACCTTGACATCAATTTGCTGGAGGAAAAATCAGAAAAAAATAATGAAAAACAAAGAAAGCCTAAGAATTATGTGGGACACTATCAACAGGAAAAATTTATATGCGATCCAAATTTCAGAACAGAAGAAGGGAAACAAACAAAACGAAGAGAGAATTATTGAAGATTTGCTGGCAGAAAATCTCCCTAATATCATGAAAGACAAGAAGACATCCATCCAAGAAGCTCAACGAAACCTATACAGCATAGACCCCAAAAGAAAGTCACCAAGACATATTATAATCAAATTTTCCAAACCAAAGACAAAGAAAGAATCCTGAGAGCAGCTCAGGGAAAAATGAAAAATCACCCGCAAAGGGGAATCAATAAGACTAAACTCTGATTATTCAGGAGAAAACATGCAGCCAAGAAAGCAACAGGATGACATATATAAAAACTTGTGCTGTGGTACACAGCAAAAGCAGTGCTCAGAGGTTAACTTATAGCAATAAATGCACACACACACAAAAATTGCCAACCAAGAATTATACACCCAGCAAAACTGTCTCTCAAAAACGATGGCAAAATTAGGACATTTCCAGATAAAGAGAAATTAATGAAATTTGTAAAAAACCTGACCAACCTTACAAGAAATATTAAAGGAGTCCTTTGGACAGAGAACCAACAGCATCAGACAACAACCTGAGACTAGGACATAAGACAGCATCAGCCAGATATCAACCCAGATAAAGAATTATAAAAAATAAAACAAAGTTAAAAGACTGAAAACAGGGAACTAGAGACATCAATTTATAAATGATGACAAAAACGGGAAATAAATGGTATAGTTATAGAAATTTCATATAAAGAGGAAGTCCATATGTTGTGGGGTTGTTAACCATTGTCATAGAGCAATATGTGTACTAACTGTTTAATGAGAAACTATTTGTTCTGTAAACCTTCATTTAAAGTACAAAAAAAAAAAGAATTATCTATGTGAGATCAAATTGACGACAACTCAAAAGGTTTGATGGGAAGCCTCAGGGACAGTGAGTTGAAGATAATAGCGATGGAATAATTTGGAAAAGGATAGTGAGAATAGCTGAACAACTGGAAGAATATAATAGATGTCACTGAATTGAACATACAGAAATTTTTGAAATGGTGTATCTTTGGCTATGTATATTTTCACTAAAAAAAAAAAAAGGTCCTCCAAGGTCGAGAAGGGAGAGTGTTGACACGTCGTGGGGTTGTTAACCCATGTCATAAAACAATATGTGTACTCACTGTTTAATGAGAAACTGTTCTGTAAACCTTCATCTAAAGTACAATAAAAATAAAATAAAGAGGAAGTCAAGGATATGTCAAGAAATAAAAGACTGCTTTAGAATTAGGAAGATAAAGGTAAATTTAACAAACCTACTCATCAAAATAAAAAAAAA